TCCATATATGGCATTCGAAAATACAATATGTGGTATAAGGAAAACGCTTCCATGGATGGCCTACCGAAAATACATGTACCGGTAACTTAGGAAAAATACTCCTACATATGGCATATAGAAAATAATTTTGCATATGAAACCATAATTACATATGGCAAATATCGCTATAAACTTGTCGTTAGTGAATTCCTGGGTACATGAATTAACTAACAGATTAACACAGATTACTTTTTTCCCAACACCGAGGGTTCTGAAGGTCATATCAACTACGGTACATTCACACCATAATGTAAAGGTTATTCAAATTCTCTTAGAGAGGGTGGGGGGAGGTGGTCATTGTCCTTCAAAACAAGCATAGACATGGACAATCAATACATTTTTGGGGGGATCATGCCTGTAAACTCTTCAATCCAACGAATAAATAAATGAAATCGTACAGTATTTAAACACTTTTAAAATGCATCTCCATGATGTATATACAATACATTGATGCAAATGTAATGTCATCCCTGTTAGACAACTCTCCGCATAGTTGTTGTTTTGCAAGAATACCATGTTCGGAGGATGAAGTGCTTGTTTACTGTGTTCCAAGGTATTGTAGACGTTGTTTTAGCATATTCTTGAGGTGGAGTAATTTTCACTAAAGTTTCACATGCCATAGTCCGTCATTCAAGTAGTGAACATTCTCTACACCAATCCCTTTGTTAATTGTTTGTCTGTAAAATTAAAAACGATATAATGAAGTTTCCTAGAAAGATAGGGGGCACATATAAGCAGAGCAAACTCCTTAAGTGATCCAAAATAATTATACTTCAACTGAATTTCTTCTTGGAAAATACTTGAATCCAAGATGGGTTTAACAGTAAGCTTGCAGTAGGAGTGAATACCCAAGAATAAGCTAACTCACTCAATTTTGTTGTTTATTTGTTTGTTTGTTTTCTATTTAACTTCAATTTAATTAGCATGTAATCAAAATCTCAATAAGGATAGGAGTTCAATTTTATTTAATATTATTATTATTATTATAGGAACTCTAAAAATATACTGCCAACTTACATATCAGTTGATGACATTTTCATCACACCAATCGCCAATGCATGCTCTTTGCCTTCTGCCATTATCGCCTGTACAATGTGGTTAAGGCAAAAACAAATATCAACCATAGATAGATAGATAGATAGATCATGATTATCATTCTACCTGATGTGTGGCATGATGGTTAGCATTCCCGCCCATCCTCAGTAAGATTTAACCTACCCAGCTACCTGGAAAAAAATACTGCCAACTTGCTGGTTCTGTATGTTACTGTGATCTTGTGTGATGTTTCCGTTTCTAGTATGCTCTTTGCAACAAGAAGAAGATTACTAAATCCAAAAGTGACATAAGGAAGGTTTGCCTAAAACTTCTGCCTTTATAAATAAAGTCTAATTAAATAGAAATATTTGGTAAGTCAAAAAACAGCAGTATTAAAATAAAATCCATCAAGGATATCCAAATTTGTTGTCTTAGAAGCCCAAACTCAGAAAGCAGGTACTAGCTATCATAGGCTTGTAGTTGGGGAATGTATTAATGTGAGCCCTGCATGCAATGTGATAGTAAATATATTCATCTTTTTCTAAAATGGCACCAACTGTCACACAGTTTAAAAGGATACCACCACTGAGTCTTGCTCTGCTGGTATTAGGGTAGCTCCCGGCGACGTCAACCCCGGACACATGATATTTGCACCACTAAGAATAAACCGTATGGCTCCCCTGTCGACTCTCTGCTTAGGTAATATCATAGGATCTGAAAGAAACTTGCACACTGACTTCTAATAATGCTACAAAAGGGTACATTACAAGATAGCAATATTGTTGGTGGTGTCGTAATCTCCAACATTCAATCAGTGGACTGCATATAAGAAGAATACAAAGCTCACTGCCTGTACATTAGACACAGCCTGTTTCAATCATTCTTTGTTCACGATGCTAAAATTTACATGGGTCCAGGGTTTTTTTTGAAAACTCAAAAAGCAATTTTTGTTACAACACTGGGAACACAACTTTTAGCAACTGAGTAAATGGGTCTTAATTTCCACTGCTGTCTAATCAGTGGTGCATATAAAGCCACCAAAATATGTACAGATTAAAAGTCAGGGGCATTATTCAACCATCAGACATGTCAGTTAATGAATGAATGAATGAATGAATGAATGAATGAATGAATGAATGAATGAATGAAAAAATCCAACTCACCACTCTGAGAGACAAGTTTGCAATGTGGGGATAGAACAGTTTAAAGCATACACAGCATTTGTGTAAAAGATAATGGTACTTACATTTATGTAGAAGCCTAAGGCAAGGGTAGTAAGGACTTTCTCTCTGTCTAAAAAAAATTAATTCATTCCCAACAGCAAATAATTCTATATGGTCGTGACTGAAAATAAAACACAAACAAATTAGACATGAACAAAAGAATACATTACAAAACAATAAAACTTCAGAATGGCTGTTATTGCAGATCCCTGGGGAAATGACAAAGCAACTGTTCCCATAGGAACAAGTTTGAGTACTCCTATAGTGATTATTTAATTTCATGCCATATTAAAGACGGTGGCCCCCATAGGGTAAATATTGTCTTTATTTTATTATCACTTGTGTGCCAGCTGACTATGAAACAGCTATAACCATGGCATGGAAATCATGTGAGTAATGACCACTGAGACCTTGACATTAAATTTATTTTTATCAAATCCGAAATTATTCTCAAACTCAGGGATCACACATATAGCGCTGTAATAAGTAAGAGAGGAACTGAAAGCACTTTACATGCTATGTATTTACATATTTGAGTACAGGAATTACCAACACATGTACATGCCAAACTTACCATTTTACAACTTTTAATCCCTCCTTCTTGGGCATAATCTGAGTAATATAGGGTTCTATATTGGGATACATTTGGATTATTTTATTCTTCATAGCTTTCTGGACAGATGACTTTAAGGGTGTCATACCCGAAACATGTTCTTTCTCATCAAATCTAATGAAAAAAAAAATACATGAAACTGTACACATTTAGTAATTCACGCTCCTTAAAAGGGGGGGGGGGCAAATTCACCCATTCAACGAAATTGGCTCTATAATAAGAGCATACACTTCAGGACAGATGACAGTATCAATGGACAAAATATGTAGTATTTATTTATCCACCATACAATTGTTATTTAAATAAATAAATTCAAAATAAAATCGAAAATAGCTCACGAAAAACGAGGTATATGTTTAAATTCACTATCAAAACGCTTTGAAGCTTTTTCATAGTATAGTATATATTTTATTTACTATGCTATGCATACAATTGCCGGCTGTGATTGGGGGTACATATTTTTATTTATTTATTTATTTACTTATTGACTCTTACACAATCCCCCGAGGGAAAGAAAATGGTCACAAAGTACAAGGAGAAATATATATATAAAAAAACAAAAACAAAAACACAATATACTAAATAACAAATAACAAATACAATCACTAAATTACTAAATAATACAAAATCTCTAAAATACAATCTAATATAAAATTACAAAATTGACAGCAGGCATTAAAGATGTCAAGTAAAGACCCTGCTTCCTGACTTCAAAGCTTTTACTTATGAACTGTGCTACTGGTATAATAATGTTTTCATTCTGTAACAATTCCATGAATTTTTTCTCTGCAGGTTTATTTTCAAATGCTGGGATCATATCCTTAGCTTTATTGAACAGTTTGGCACGCAACTCATTATATTTGTTGCATTCCAGCAGAAAATGCATTTCATCCTCAATTAGACCTTTGTTACACATGTCAC